ACGGCGAGGTTTTCAAGATTTTTCTTTTTTTTTTTTTTTAGTCCCGATCTTTGGAACTTTGTCCGACTTGTATGATTTTATTATGAAATCAGGAAGGTTTTTCGTCCTTTAAATAATAAGTCTTCGAATTTTTGAAATATTAATGGTCTTTGAACATCGACGTCGAAGGATAAGGAATTTATCGAATTTCATTCACTTTAGTTTTATCCGCTATGATATAATAAGATATATTCTTCGTAAATTTACATTATTAAATATATATTTTCACTCATTACCAGTGAAGTAATATATAGAAAATGCGTAATGAAAAATTTCGTAAAATTTCGTAAAAAGAGAATAGTTTATCGTAATATTGTCGATATTATCAATTTCATTATCAAGCTTGGTAAAATTGCAAGGTACAATTACAATCAGATTGGTCTAATTGACGAAATGATTTTTATTCTTCGTGCATTGTTCTTCTTCCTCGTTTTTGAACATTGACGTCAAAAGATAAGAAATTCTATTTATCGAATTTCATTCACTTTAGTTTTATCCGCTATGATATAATAAGATATATTCTTCGTAAATTTACATTATTAAATATATATTTTCACTCATTACCAGTGAAGTAATATATAGAAAATGCGTAATGAAAAATTTCGTAAAATTTCGTAAAAAGAGAATAGTTTATCGTAATATTGTCGATATTATCAATTTCATTATCAAGCTTGGTAAAATTGCAAGGTACAATTACAATCAGATTGGTCAAATTGACGAAATGATTTTTATTCTTCTTCCTCGTAATCGCAACGAGCCTTCGTTCATACTTCTCACGTTTTGCATTACAGAAACTGATGACCATTTCCTCCTCTCTGGTGGAAACGCAGAACACTGACATTACGGAGGCAACTGTGACCCAGCATTTCGCTTATTTACACGGTGTCCTGCAAAACGTGGAGAAACGGATCATCAACTCGCTGCGCGAGCGTAAGAATTCCAGAAGGAAAAATATCGATGCGATTTCCACGGAGCTGAGAGAGTACGAGGAACAACTTCAGTCTGCAATTACGGTAAAAATTCGAAGATCAGTTCGTTGAAATCAATGATAGATTCTTTTGTCACGCAATTTATCGTGTGATTGGTCGTGTAAATTTTGTTGCTGCCGTGATATGAACAATGTGGGATTAAATTTTCAAGTTTCAATTCGCTGGAATTATCCTTCCAGTTTTTCAGTCTGCGAATTGGACGCCGCTCTATTTCATTGGCTAAATTATATCTATGCTTTTAGACAAAGCGTTATTGCATCCACAATTTCAACTTGATTGGTATAATAATTAAGTCCGCAGGGAAGTTCCGTTGCTTTCATTCATTCGATGTCCATCTCTTGTACGCAATAAACGAAAATACCGGCACTCGTAACGAGATTTCCCTCGATTAGTCTATAAAGTTTCGGATTAGTATTAGTCTCTGCAGAGATTCTCGTATTTAAATGGAAAGGATTTAAAGAAAAACGTTAAAAATTTTACTGGCGGAGTAGAAAATTCGTAACAAAAGAGACAACTTTTTTTTTAAATATGTTACAGCTTTTCTTAATTTTTTAATTTAACGATATTTTGATGTACAATTTATAAATAACATTATATCTTCTTCTTAAAATCCACGAGCATTAGAGATATGTGTGTTATTAAGTAAGTCGATGTTCAAAAATTACTTACTCCGAATGGTCAAATGATCGACTCGTGTGCCGACAAATCTGTTCCAGATCTCCACATCGATCAAAGAAAATCTCAACAAGATAGATATTAAGCATGTGATAACAAAATTGAAAACTCTGGTCAATATCCCTTGCCATTTGATTCAAAATGACGAGCACGAGAACGACGAAGTCAAGTAAGCGATATTCCATATTTCTAATGTAGAGATATAATTTAATGATGTTTATTATATTAAACAAGAAAGGAAACGGAAACAAAACAACAAACAATAAAAAGCAAGCAACAATAATTCGAATAAACTCAAACGACACAATTAATTCTTTTATGCAACAGAAAATCATCACTCTTTTGATCACGCTTATTTAACGTTGTTTTACTTAACTCTTCGCGACTCTCTCCTTTTTTCAAAAAGAAAAGCGTTCAACGTCAACGCTTCTCACATCACATTCATACTTTTCGTTCACGCATCTGATCATACGATGATCGATAATAAATAAAGTCATCGTACTACAAAGGAAAATTTTCTAATTGATTTGAACGTTTACATGATACAGAATTTAATGGATGAATTAAGACTGAAAACTGACGACTGTTTATTAATTTCTTATTTACTATTATATATATTCTCGGCAATTTTTTTGTAACATGGTAACTATTGTATTTCCATGGTAAAATTTTAATAAAACTAAATAGATGTCGCTACACATCTCCAACAAACAGGCCATCTATTAAAAATAAAAATAATTAAAAATATAACTACACGTTATAATAATTTCGATACTACACTAATAATATTATTTGTTTCTTCACAAGGAAGGGGAATATTGTGTAATCTTCGTTAGACGTTAAGAATAAAATTTCAATTGTACTAGTAAATCTTACTCCATTAAATTCGTCAAGATTTTAATTATTTTCAATTATTTTACTTTCAATGACTTCTTCTGCTATGCAATTTTTACCACCTACGCAATCTATGTACCATCCTGCTTCTTAGTCTTTTTAATTTCCGAACGATTGCATCTGCAAAGAGTACTTGTGAAATATACTGTTGATTATGGGATTTGTACTGTAGAGGAAAGAAAAAAATCCATTTTACTCGACAGCTGCAATTTTAATTGAACGTCAAAGGTCAAAGGTGAGTTGAACTAGAAAGATAGGAGTTCCTACTTTTCAAATTAAATTAAAATAAACAAAGATCGGATAGATCAAATTTCGTCATTCAAAAAAAAATATTTCTGTCGCGTGATTATTGTCAATAAATATTTTTCGTATCGTTTCAATAGAGTATATCACCATCGATCCACGGCACAGTGTTTATCTCGATTCCGACGTTAAAACGATCGAACAACAAAATCGAATCTCTTAACAATGTTGCAGCTCTCGTCTCATCAATCTCGCAGAGATTTATCGAATTTATCGCAGTGAAAAATCCAGAGCTTTTGATAAATCAAACTCTCCGGTGCATATTGAACGATTTATTTTCACCCGACAGTGACGATGGTGCGGAGTCGGACAAATCCTCTGTCATTTATATTCG